TATATATATATATAGTGTAATTATATATATTATGTACTATAAGGAAAAATAGCGGTTGGGAGGTAACGTGTCCACAGCAGAGGACATTGGTGCATATTTATCAAGATGGGATCTTTACGCTGCATTTTTGTCATAGTGAAAAAACAAGCTGTCATTTGGGTTAACTTATGATATCAAAAATATATCCATCTTGCCTTCTTTTACATGATCTGATTGAAAGAAAGAGATGATGTTTTTGTCTTGATTAAATTTGTTACAAAAACCACGCAATAATGTGCTCAAATGAAATAGCATTGCTCTGTTGCTTGATTAAGATAAGACTAATTGTGAGCATAATTTTCATCAAATTAACTGAAAATAACGGGTGGGAAGAAGGAAGAAGGAAAAAGAAATCTATAACAGAATTGAATGGCTTGTCTGGATTAGAATGTGGAATCAGAGAGGAATTGGACTGTCTTTGTTCTTTACAGGCTCTCAATGTTTTCAACATTTCTCTTTTCAGAACCTGATTTCTCTTATCTGGATGCCCTGGCTCCTTATCAGCCCTTGGCGATGAAATGTGTTTACTGTCCCATTGACACGAGGCTGAATTTTATTCAGGTGTCTAAATTACTCAAAGAAGTCCAGGTAATGAACTGTCTGTTGCCTTTTCTTATGTTTCTTCACACACTTAAATAGATCAACTGGGAACAACCTTTACATTGAAAAATGGCAAAATCATGGCAACGCCCAGATCCTTTTTGCCGTGAGAGAGCACTCGGCACCGAGCTCTCGGTCTCATACAGCCCTAATGTAGAGGGGACTAAATGCTGAGTATCCTCAGCACCCTCGGCTTTAAACATCTCTTTATCCTGCAGCTGATACTTGCTTTCGTCCTCGCGTTGCCGTTCTGAAATGATCACTCTCACATCTCTTCCAAGTCCGCTGCTTTTCTTTCTCCATTTGCAAAATCCAGACTTCTGGCTAGGGAGAAAGTCAAAGTGTTCGTGGCAGTTTCTGCTTTGCCCCCTTGACTCTTTTTGGCTTTGGTGGCTTCTCCTTGTCCATCCCATTTGTTGCTACTGAAATTTGCTTTCTGTCTCACGACATAATTAAAATAATACCCAGATTTTTTTTTCCTGGATGAGCTTTCCCCTTTGTTCTGTCTTCAACTTGGTGAGCACAAAAATACGTGTTCTTCCAAACCTCTTAACAATATCTGGATCATTTTATTCCATTGTTCTATGACCTGAATTGGCACCACACAACTGATTGCAGTTGCCGCTGCCTGTTTTTTCAGAGAAGCGCTTTCTTCCATGTTAGTACCGAGCTATAATGCTGTTTCCAAAACAGTTTGCAGAAGCGCTGCCTTGTCCTTTGGCTTCCTTAAATCCTGCCGTGATCCTTTGGGCAACCAGCTTGTCGACGCTTTGCTCATTTATTGTTGACAGGTCGTGAAATCTCGGGAGTTGCTCATTGTGCTAATGTTTTTACAGCCTTGCATATCGATACAGCTGCCTCACTTCATGCTGTTTCGTGATGCTCTCCACCACTACTGTCGTTTGCTTCCAGTTGACAAGGATTTGGAAGAAAAAGCTCTTGAATTGTCTTTTTTTAATCTCCTTATGGCAGCGGGCATGACTGCTGATACTGAAGTGGTGATTACTCTGGGTGCTGTTGTATACAAAGCAAAGGCTGCGTGCTCCTTGAACCGTTTGTTTCGCTACTGACTGGATCTTTTGGATTGCATCTTTAGCGTGTTGTTTTCATACAAATAAATCAGCTTGCTCACAACAACATTCAGACCTCCTTATGACGAAGGTTACTGTTGGAGGGCAGCACACAGAATCAGCCAGAAAATTTTTATAAGTCACCAAAATCTTCTTTTTTTTCCAGCCTCTCCACGTCGTTTGCCCGGAGCAATACACTCAGCCGCCACCCACCCAGTCTCATCGGACAGATCTGATGATAGACTGCCAGCCTCCGCCGATGGCCTACCACAGAGCAGAGGTGCTGAGTCTCCCGTACAAGCGACGCTACGAGAAGATTGAGATCATGCCAGAAGTGAGTAACCAAAATGAGGAAAAAGGTGGTGGCTTTGTGCTCCTGCAGCCAAATTCAAGCTACCGCTTCAGTAGACCCTTTGACTAAAGACACCTCGTGGCAGTGATTTACTGTTGGCTCTGATCGCGTAAAGCACTTTCTGTCAAACAGAAGGCTAAGAAAGGAGCGTTTCTGAGAGAGAATCTCACTGTGTAAACTAGTGGGAATTGAAAAAGGCATTGTGAGCAAGCAAAAAATATGTTCGAGTTAATTGTCCTTTGCGAGGATGTATCGCATCTCAAAATACAGAACAAAAGACGATCTCTGCTGGCCGCCTGTGAGGCAAGCCAGTCACCTCCAGTTTAAATTTGAGTAAGTTGAGGCACTGCAGTTGGAATTAGTGGCCCAAGGCCATGGAAAGGTTTCAAAGAATCTGGCAGTTAGTAGCCAGGAGTTGTCTTTCTCCTTCCCCAGCTGTGAGAAATACCCTTTTCCTTGAGGAGCAGCATTCAGTCGTATGTTAAAGGCGTAGTAGTGGAATGGCTCATGTGCTACAACAATTTCAATAAATGGTTAAATCTTAGAGACTGCTGAAGTCCAACAGGTTGATAAGTTGCTTGTAGCCATCTATAATGTGGACTCTGTTTGCCTGCAACATCTGTTAATAATTTATTAACCCCATAAATCAAATATAAATGTACCCATAATACAAAGGGTGACCCATATTCTAAGAGAGACAATCTTAAAATATTTTTTTGACAATCCAGTCAGCACAAATGTATCCTTGAAACAGAGGTGATCGTGGCTTTTTACAAGTAGGCGTAACTGCCCTTTGGAAACTGTTGAATATATGAGTCTACTTTTCATCAGAGAGTAGAGGAAGGAAGTACCTTTAGTTAAGCCAAACATGCAGCACAGAACTGGTACCTGTGTAACAAAATCCTTCAGCCAGTCCACAACACCCGTTCCTACCACTTCTCATGTGTCTGCTTTGTTCATTAGTTCTGCTGGGAGCCTGCCCAGCCCAGTGGTTGGAAGACTGCCAGAGACAAGGAGGGATTTTTTTAATTAGAGAATATACTTGGGTGCAACTCCACCATGGCACGTATATTTAATTGTTTTGGAAAATTTACATATTTATTGGATCCTCTTAAACCTAAGATTCGTAAAATGTGACTTCCATTCACCAGCATGACCAAAACAAGTCTTACATTCTGAGAGCAGAGAGCCAGCAGCACATGGCTTAACTGTGATTTAGGTTCCACTGAAGCATTGGGTTTCCCCCTAAACCGTGAGGATGTAAGTGAGCCTTTGTATGTGAGCCTACGCCTTGTGTCAGCCCTGCGAGGAGCGTGGATACCAGCTTTCCCTGCAAACGGAATGCAAATTAGCACCCATGCTACAGATGAATATTCACCAACCCTCATACATTTGGAAGTTCCTGTCGACGGGGAGGGTTGTCTAAAAGCTGGGCTGATCCGTGGGAGTCACAGGTTCAGTTTCTTGCTCCATCAGAGTCTTCCTGTACGATCAGCACAAGCCTAAAAGACAAAACGCTGCTCACGTTGAAAGGACACCGAGGCCTGCAGAGCTCCCTGGCAGAGCTTACTAGTCCGACGGCAGTGCCGTGCTCGTGGGGCTAGACCACATCAGAAAACAAATCCGTGTTTCTCTTGTTAGCTTGGCTGCAAGATCCCTTATGGCAACAAGATCCCTTGCATTTGAGGCTCAAGATCCCTAACGTCTGAGGCTCAAGAGGCCATGTGGATGCCTTGGCAGCCACTGATGTGGAAGTGCTCTCCATTTCTCAAACCGAGATCTCCGGTGGTTTTTAGGTATTGACTGGCTTCTTCCCATACCTCCAGGTAAAAACAGTGCATAGAAGTGAAAGCACTTCCCAAAACTGCTGTGATGTTGGAGGGAGGATGCACGGTACACGATATGGTATTCACCAACCTGGGAATGGGTATTAAAGAGAAACTTGGAGAATTCGAGCAGAAAGCTGCACAGGCAGGAATACTGACAGAAATGGGCCTTTTTTGCCCCTCTAACAAATAACATCAAGTTACATTCACACAGGAGTCCTAATTTCAAAGCTATCTCTATTCAGGGAGGAGAAACATCTTGTGATTTTCCATGTCCAGGTATTGTCTCTCGTTCCAAAGCTGCGCTTACCAACTTGCAGAAAGCTATTTGGCATGTGGTGAAGCTCCTACAAAGACTTTAATATGATACAAAAATTAGGTAAATGAAATAATCTCATGAGACTTTCAGGAAGGCTGCTGTTCTTTCCCATTGGTGTCAGGTAGGTAGCATTTGCTTGCCTCGGGGTTTTTTTGAGACGTTGTGTGCCTGCCTCTGAGAGCAGGACTGTGATTTGAGGCTGTTAGTAGGCTGCCATTTCCCAGCACTGAGATCTGCAAATCACCCTCAAAAAGAGATCTTACTCAGTCTTTTTAGGGGAACTTGCTAGAGAGGTAGCAAAGCCAACCTTGTAGTGATCCCAGACTGTCTCCCCAGGTCAGCATGTCTTCATCACATCACCGTGTGAGGCCAGTTTTTGGCTTCCAGCTTGACCTGCGGAGTGATGATAAGGCATGGGAGGGCTGGTACGTTGTCTCCCACCCTCGCTGACTTTGGGTTTGGGATCTTAGCGGCATAGTTGATAACTGCTGGGGAGTGTAACTGCAGTCGTTCCTACTCCGTCACCTCAGTCGATCCCGAAGGGTTGTTGTTTGGTTTTCAAGTAAATGGGAGGAGGAAAAGACCATCTTTTTGAGGGCCTGTATTTCCTTTCATGCTCACTCCCTAAATAAGCACTGTACATCCTTAAGATTCTTTCTGTGCCATCTGCATGGCTTGTCTCATTCCCTCTCCCAGCACAAGAGCCCTGTCTGCCTGTCCCGTGGTGCAGAGAGGTCGTTAAGATGTTGGTTCGGAGAGGCTGATGCAGATGGCCTGTTGGTTTCAAGCAGGGTTCACCCAGTGGTGGCAAAAAAGGGCTGTAACTTCCCCTTCTGCGAGACAGGATTGCAGATTGTAGATGAGGCTCCCTGGTGGGGAGTATTTGCTGCTTAATGTCCCCTTTTCAGTAGTTTCATCCAGGAAGACGCTTCAGTCGTGCCTGAGTATATAGGAATTTCTATACTACAAGGGAAGGATGGGCTGCCACCAGCTGTGGGATTCTGTGAAGGCTCAAGTGGCAACTGGGGAAGGTATTTAGTTACTCCTAGCAAACCTTGGGAAAGCTTGACCTTGTGAAAGCTTCTTGTTTGTCAAAACCACGTTAGCCGAGAACAGGGTGATGAAATCCATCCTCAAAAAAAAGAGTAATTGCTAGATGTGCTCCAGGGCTAGGACTTGTGTCTAAAGTACAGCTAGAAGTCTCATAAAATTATGAGCGTCTGCTTCAATGAAGCCCTGATCTGGGCCCTCCTGTAACATCCACGGCCCTTTCTCAGAAAAGAACACGTGCTTAAATTTCTGTCTGAATTTTTAAACCTTTTGAAAGCCCAGCAGCTGGCTCAGCATGACTTCAGTCAACGTAGACTGACGGTATGGCAGCAGGAAGTTTCCTTTCCAAAACTGTCCCAGTGGTTCAGATTCTGGCCTCACAGACTAATGTAAATTTACTTCCGCTGCCGGAGCTTGTCTACATTTCAATCACTTCACCGAAGAGCAAAGTCAGGTCAGGCAGAACCGTTGTGTGCTGATGAGATTTACACTCGGAGCAGCCTTTGTTTGGAGAGAGGTTTTAACAGTCCCAAGGCACCAGGCTGGAATGGCTCTCGGAGGTATTGTGGAAACCTTTACGCTTTAACTGATTTGTTCTTCTCAGCATCTGCCTTTCACTTTAAAAAAATAATAATAATTAAAAAAGACTGCTTCCTGGAAATTGGTTAAGGCATTGTCTGTTCACAGGAGAATGATGGGAAAATGGAAAACACCTTCTGGAGCAAACAGATAAATTAAGCAGTAGTGTCTGAGCAAATAATGTGCCTCCAGTTTAATTACAGCTGAACAATGGTGCGGATCACTCGATTTCAGCAGCAGAGTGACTTCAGTGAGGGCTCTGTGTTTTTAAAACTCGTATTTGCAAGTTCTTCAGGACACAGGACAGTGTAGAGAGTGAGCCTGTGCAATGCACAGCCCAACATGAAGTGAAATTACAAGGAACTATTGCAGAAAAGAATTAGGAAAACAGCCACTTGGCAGCCCATTATAATTATGTAGCTTTCACCCCACCCTCCCTTTTTCCTGTCTCAGCTTCATCTTGCCAACTGCTTTTTGAGAGAAAGAAAGGCAAAACGTGGTTCTTATCTTACCTCTCTGACTTCCTTCCGTGTTTCAGGGACTAAAGATTTTTAATTTCTGCCTTTCTTCTAAACCTCGACTTACTTTGGTGACTGCACATTATCCAGTCTCATGACCTCTCTATTCCCCTTCCCCTAACTATTCCCCCTTGTGCAAAGATGCTGTAGTCTGACTTATCATAAAGTAAATTAAATATAACCAACCTGCTTACTTCTGCTACTACGATTCATCCCTTCAGCTCCAAGCTTACTGAATCCACTATCTGAAAAATTGCTTGGAGTCCCTCCCTCATTGTAGCACAGGTGCTCTCCGAGCTTGACTTCACCTTTTTGACATTCCCCCCAAGCTGCTCTTGTTCCAGCTTTTACCAGACTTTTCTTAGACAAAGCCAGAACCACTGGAGTCTGCCGTCTTCCTGATCTACATGCTCGGTGTTCAATGCAATCAGCCGTTCTTTTCTTCTTAAAAATGTCTCCCATCTCACTCCCATGTTTCTTCTCTTCTTGCACCTTTTCTCGGGTTGGTCTTATCTACAGAGACTTCTGTTTAGATTGATGAAACTCAGATCTGCTCCCAGCCTGCTTTTGCCTGCCCACATTAATATCAAGGTGTGTTTCTCCTTCATTTTTGAGGGCTGGCTGTAAGATCACACTCTTTGCTAGCCAGGCCCTTCTCTCTCTCTTCCCAGTCAGCTTCAACAACATCAC